AGCCCGGCAGCCCGCAGAGTACGCTGAAACCTGTGTCGGGGCAGAGTACCCTGGCATTGGAGGGCAGCCATCTTCAGAGCTGTTCTCATATTTCTCATAGCGTGGAACATAGCAAGGATGGCTTAAAGCCCGAAGTGTATGATGTCGCTGATTGCTGATTGCACTTGAGGTCTGGTTGCGTTTCTGCAGCAGAACTGTCGCGAAGACCATGGTGTTTTCCAGTTGCGTGCTGCTTTCGACAATGTGACCAACGAGGATTATGTGCAGGTCCGAGTGGCTTGTCCTGGAACAGCCACGTCCAAGGCAATTGCAAACAGTAGCGCCAGTCAGCCCCCACCCATCGTGATAGAGCAGTTTGAGCTTGCAGCAAGCGGCACTGTGACGACTCTGAAAGAGCTTATCTTCAAGAGGACGAAGTTTGCTGTGGATCAGACCGTATTGTTGCTGGGCTGCAAGAGACTGCACGAGGAACTTCCCATGGGTCGCGTTGCGGCAGCAGCAGAAGCATCCGGAACGCCCCTCCAGCTGCATCTGGCTGTCAAAGGCGCACTGGCATTCCTCAGGCGCGAGGGCCAAGGGCATCGGGAGCAGACTGGCCCGCATACTCTGAGCCTCGTCCTGCCGGCGAGTGTCAGAGGCAGCCGTGAGCGACCCATGCCCTTCGATCTGGAGTCTACTCTCAGCGATCTACGCTGGTCTGTGCAAAGCATCACAGGCATCTCCCCTGCCCGCATGAAGCTGGTATTGGACGATGACAAAGACCTGTCCTTCGCCCTGGAGTCTGCAACTTTAAAGGAGCTCGGTTTCGAGGATGGCTGTTGCGTGCATGTGCATCAGCCTGCTGATGCCCTGACCGATTTCGACATGCCGCTGGACATCCCGTCCATGGGCCCTGCAACCATCCTATACGAGACGGCCGCAGAAAAGCTTGGGATACCGGACCACAACAAGCTGGCAATCTTTGCCGGCAACGAGCTGGTCGATCGAAGTGCTGATCTATCCCAGGCGCTTATTGCAGATGGCGTGATCCTCTGCGCATACATGAATTGGCCTTTGCATCTCTCCGTGTCTGTGCTGGACTCGAGCCTGCCAAGTGCGGAGGGCTTTCCAGGCGCTGAGGTTAGTTTGGTTCTCCACAGTTTGGCTGTAGGCTCATTTGGGGTTTGACTCCTTGCTCTTTCGGGATGCACATGCGCGCCGACTCTAACAGACTCTAACAGGTTCCCTGGAAGTGCGGAGCTGCGATTCCATCGCGGACGTCCGGCGGAAGCTGGTGGCTTGTGCCGCCGAGCAGGCCGAGGCGATGTCCCTGCTGGAGGGGAGCTTGGCCTTTGCGATCGAGTGCTCCCTCTGGCAGCGTGAGGGAGCAGGCTGCCGCACCCTGGCGTCGTTGGAGCACCTCTTGGGGGGCTTTGCACCCGTTCCCGAGACAGCGCGGCTCTCGAGGCTCGGAATGGCCGATGGCGGCTGCCATGTGGTTTTTGTGCCAAAGAAGGTGGTGTCGGTGGAAGTTCAGGTCTGCTGTGGGGAGGAAGAGAAGGGTACCAGGCAGCTGAGAGTGCCAAGCACCAGTCGCCTTTCAGAGCTGTCAACGATTCTGATCAGAAGTCTGCGCCAAAGCGGCCTCCCCGATTTTTCCCCAAGCGACTTCGCCCACTGCTACTGGACCCTCCACGACCCGAAGAGCGGCGACCTCCAGCGCTCCAGCTCCCAGTCTTCCTTCAGCGGAGCGCCTTGGGCTCCGCTAACATCTGAACACCCTCCGCAAGATCGCCATACCAAAGCATGAATAAAAATCTCATATATTATAGTATTCAGGAGCACTCATTAGAAAGGCCCCCCCCCCTTGGTTCACCTAGGTGGCGGCGATGCTCTCGAAAGTGAAGCGCAAGTCCTTCGGAAGCAGCCCGGGCTCTCCTCCAGAGAAGCGGCGCCGAACCAAGGAGCTCTACATGAAACAGGGTTTATATCTCTGTTATTGGTGAGTGTATATAAGGTTCCTTTTTAATCTTGGCGAGTAAAAATACCTGGTGTCCTTTTGGGGGTACCAGAAATATATACCCTACTTCATATGATGCAGTACTTGGAGGTTCAGGGTACTTTGTAGCCCAATTTTGAGAGTAGTTGAAACCCACTTATAACCAAATTGGGGTACTTAAGGGGCTTTTAGGTTTTAACTCCACTTTTGGGTTTGAACTACACCTATAAGTACCTTGAACCTCCAAGATAGGGGCTACTGTAAGGCCCGTACCACGATGAGGGGAGCCGGAAAATAGGAGGTTTTGAAGAGGCTAAAGCCTAAACCCTAAACCCTAAACCCTAAACCCTAAACCCTAAACCCTAAACCCTAAACCCTAAACCCTAAACCCTAAACCCTAAACCCTAAACCCTAAACCCTAAACCCTAAACCCTAAACCCTAAACTAAACCCTAAACCCCTAGACCCTAGACCCTAAACCCTAAACCCTAAACTCTGAAACTGGAGGACATGGATGAGACGCAGTTTCTTGGCGACCTGCAAGCCAAGCATCCGACGACGTCGAGAACTCTGTGCGAGCCCCCGGCTTAGTTTCTTTGCACATGGCAAATGAAATTTAAATGGGGGTTTACGAAAATGACTCTCAGAATAGACCCCCCAAATAGTAGGAGCCCATTATAACAAGGACCCCCACAAGGCACCCCAATTTCGAAAACCCCCCAAATCAGCCCAAGCCAGAGCGCCCTGACTCATGGAGCAGCCAGCAACAAGCAGCTTCTGCAAGGCAGTTCCTGTGCCCCATCTCCATGCAGATCATGCAGGATCCCGTCATTGTCACGGGAAGTGGCAACACGTACGATCGCAAGTCGATCGAGAGACATTTCCAGCACTTCTACAGAGACCCGCTCAACAACACCGAGCTCAGAAGACCGGCAGACAGAATCTTGTCTCCCAGGGTTGCTCTCCACGATACTCTCTGCATCTAACCCTTGCAGCCTATGATGCCCCAAAAGGCCCGAGCTGAAAGCAATTTTCGGCTAGCTAGCCCTAACCCTCACCCTGAACCCATATCCTCCCAGAAGAAAGATTATTCCCCACCCTAAACTGTGAAACCCTTCAATCCCTAAACCTTTGAAATCCTTAAACCCCTAAACCCTTAAACCCTTTAGACCCAAAGGAAAGTTGATTCCAAACAACCAGCTGCGAAGCCAGATCCGCACCTTGGCGGTTTAGGCCTCATGGTCATTATGTATATATGTATATATAAATAAATAAATAAATATATATATATATATATATATATATGTAAGTAGAAAATGATTAAACATACTAGTATATAAATAGACATTAAGATAAATATGCAAAAAGTATGTATATATCTATATACACTTAATACTAAAAGTACATGTGGTTACGCGATGAAATATGTCCGCTGAGTTCTTTTCTTTTTTTTGGGGGGTGGGGGCTTGCGCAGAATCCAGGTACCGCGAGGTTGCGGCGTGTGTCCCAGTAGCCGTCCTTCATTGCACAGAAAAACTCTGAAGGTAGGTTTCGCTTATTGGGGGCCGACGATTTGCAGTGGCAAAAGTACGGACTTCCTTACCTCCAATGCATTCGCAAACAAAGTCGTGCGGCGTGGCTTCGAGTGATTTCTTACTGTGTTCAGTCGACCTATAGAAAAGTTGAACCCAATCACGAAACTTGAAAGCCACAATCCATGTGCTGACCCGAACGTGCCTAGCAGCAATCGCCACTTGTGCCAATCTGTCTGGCCGGGAAGTTTTCCGGACATCCTTTGTATATCCATCTCTTGATGAAGCTCCGCTGTGCCTCGATTGGACTTGTCGTGACACCGTTTATGAATCGGGGGTTTCCGAAAATATGGGTACCGTTTCTGCGGTTCCTTAAAAGGATTATATAGTATTTTGGGGTACATACGGAGTACCCCGACTTGCGGAAATCCCATTAATGATCTCCCCCTCACTATGATTGACGACCTCTTTGCTGCAGGTCTGACTCACGATGTTGATTCTCTCTGCGTGATTGCCGACACTGTCGCCTTCCACTTGTTGCTCACGAGGATATCATGTTTTCGAAGACCTAAACTCTTTATGTTTTGCAGCATGTCCCTGCGGCGATGCAATTTTGATGGTTGTTGCTCGTTTGCTGCTTCTATGGATTTGGACTCTTGTTGCTGTTTTTTCCGTTGCAGCCAAGTTTTCGACACTACATGGTGCTTCTTGGGTTGCAGCAAAAATCTTGCGAAAATGACGAAAGCACTGTAAATTACCATAGGAATTAACGTGTGTGGTCAGAGTATCCGCGCCGAGTGATGACAACGTCCGTGTTATTAGTTAGTGTGTGCGAATCGTCAGAGCATCTACGCCCGCGCGATGAAAACGTCCGTTGTACCAGTGCGTGCGAGCGGCCACACGTGCCCGTACGATGATAATATCCATGTTGCCAGCGCATGCGAGTGGCCAGAGTGGGTATGATGTTTGGGGTTTAAGGTTTGGTGTTTTTGGTCTTGGCGCTGTACGGTTCCTGGGTTTAAGGTTTGGTTTGAAAGTTTAGGGTTTACATCACAACCAACACCTGGTGCACCCATATCCTGGTAACACGGACCTTCGCATGCTCGTTGGTAAAAAAGGCAAACGCGCATTTCCTTTGTGGGGTGTTTTGTCCAAAACGGACGAGAAAATCGTATGTGAGCCCCTCTTATATTTAGTGCATATATTTGACTGTGTGAATGAAAAGCAAGCAAATCCACAGAATCCACAGAATTTTTAAACACATATATATATATAAACAAATAAATGCATAGATATCTATATACACATAGTATATGTATATGTATACGTATATGTGTATGCCTTGCAATGTATATGTATATGTATATGTATATGTATATGTATATGTATATGTATATGTTAAATGTCAAATGTTAAATGTTAAATGTTAAATGCTAAATGTTAAATGTTACATGTTAAATGTTATATGCTATATGTTATATGTTATATGTTATATGTTATATGTTATATGTTGTATGTCATATGTATATGTCATATGCATATGCATATGCATATGCATATGTATATGTATATGTATATGTATATGTATATGTATATGTACATATATATATATATATATATAATATGCATACTCATATGTATGTGCTATATGTACATGTTTATGTATGTGTATATGTATATGTAAGTTCTTGCGCAGTATTGAGGGCTTATGAGGGTGCACGAAGGGTACTTCTCTTCCGCAGTGGTCATAAACGGCTGTGATAATAGTTGATAACGGCTTGTCGGGGTCCACACTTTTCACCCGATCTTCCTTAAACTTCTGCATCTCTCAACCTTGGAGTCCCTCCAAGAGATGTCTAGCTTCCGAGCGTCCTGTAACGAAAAGGGTTTGATTTTACAGCACGTCTTGTTTCTTGCCCCAGGTGAAGCGGAGATTTCTCAAATCCATTTGCGACTCACCGCACACATAAGCGAGGCTCGGCTGATATTTCAGTTCACGGATGTGTGTGCGTGTGTGTGTGTGTGTGTGTGTGTGTGTGTGTGTGTGTGTGTGTGTGTGTGTGTGTGTGTGTGTGTGTGTGTGTGTGTGTGTGTGTGTGTGTCTCCGCTTGCGTTGTCATTGGCCGCAGCCAGCCTGATCAGCCTGAGGAGCAGCGGAGTTTTTCCAGTGATGCGCCGATCATCGAATCACTTCGGTATTGTGCGTCTCTTTTGAGTCGAGGCAGCTAGATCTGTTCCTTGCAAATCTGTTCATACACTTCCTTTGTAAATGCCTAAGCCCTAGAAAAAGTCAATGCAACAAGCCAAGATCAGCCACGGGATTGCGCAGGCAGCACCGCGGCATGGAGCTTCGAAAATGTTAAGAGCGCTAGGCCACTAGGTGTGCTAAGTTGTTGGCTGAAGCAAATCCCGGCCTGATCACGTAGAAGGTGGCAAAAGATTTGAGGAGAGGTCGACAGACCGGCGCCAAAGGTGTACCGGATGTCAGGATGTTAGAGTGGGCAAGCGCTTGCAAGGTTTGGCTTGACCTTTTAACCTCGATGCCACGGAGACCACCCGTGCCACTAGACCAATGAGCTTGCACGAGCTGCGTAGGAACATGGAAAGCCATGTTGCAGTGCGGAATTGTCAGTCGTGACCTCTGCCATGACTGCTCACCGAATCGAGTGATCATCAGTGGCCAAGAAAAGAGAAGTCGGGGGAAGTCGGGCTGGATTGACTCTGCCCAAGAGACCCGCCTGCCCGCTGGCCCACATCACAAGGCCCAGCATCGTGGTCTTCTTGAACAAGATGGCCTAGCCGCGCATGTTATGCATGAATAGCAAAACTCTGAAGCAAGCCAGACTTGGTACGCGTGTGTAGGCCCTCCTTTAAGTCAAGGAAGCCAGCTGGCTTCCGATTCAGCTGCAGCCTGTGTGGCTTCGGCATGACAATGCATGACAGGACATGGTCGAAGACATGGAGCTTGTCGATCTTGTGGAACTCGAGGCGGCCTTCTTGTCAACCCCTTTTGATCAAACATCCCCATGCGATGAGCCTGACAGCTGTGATGGCCCATGCGGTCCAGCGCGGAGATGCGTGTGGAAGTCTTGGCTCAAGCGGGCAGCATCATCCAGCCCTGCTGATGTTGAGCAGCTTTTGTGCACCTTGCTTGCATATTAAGAAATCTTCGAGTGCTTGTGCACAAGGGCCGCACGCGCGCGACCTGACCAATACTTCTACATACCAAAGTAGAAGGTTCCACAGAAGGCCCTGCGTGCGCCCTCATGCAAACAACGTGAAAGAACTTCGAGGACTCGACCATGCTCTTGTTTGCCAGTTTTCTGGAGTTGCTGACCTTGGAAAGCTGTTCAAGGTGATGTGCGACCTGCCCAGTGGGGTCGGCGGGCTATGGTTGTTTTGGCTATGTGAGCACATTCGGTGTTCCTTTGTTCTTATCCAGAATGTGTGTGTGTATATTATAGTATGCTTTGATTGTTTTTTGGAATGCCTGCTTTGGCACTACTTCTTACCTGTTAGGGCATTTCTGCCCAGGCCAGGCCCCGCCGGGGCCGCCGCAGGCCAGCGCGCCTCCGGCGCCCGTGGAAGGAGCAGAGCCTTTTTAGAGTCTTGCCGGAGCCTGGGTTTATGGTTTATGGTTTATGGTTTAGTGTTTAGGGTTTGGGGTTTTGGGTTTAAGGTATCTCTTTGCCTTGAGCTGTCTGTGCATGTCTCATGACATCTTAACTGCCCAAAAGACCACCGTCAACGATAGATTCGAACACATTTCTTCCAGCTTGTCATCGCACGAAGCCCTGAACATTTTGCAGTGCACGATGGATCCAAAATCGTTCTGTGGGGTTCTGGATGGTTCTGGTCAGGACAGCGACATTTGGGCAAAGTGTCTCTCGTCAGCATGTCCACGAAGCTGACTTGCCATTTCTTCATGCCTATCTGAGAGTGGCGCATTTTGCAGTTGCAGTGGGGGGTGGCTGGGTAAACTATGGCTGCCCTAAACCCTATAAACCCTAAACCCTAACCCTAAACCCCAACCCTAAACCCTACTCCGCAGCAGAAATGCAGGCCAGCATGATGCCCCATATTTCCGGAGTGAGGCGATTCGGAGACCCGCGCGGTGTGGCCGAACTCGAAGACCCCGATCCTGGTGTGCCTGGGACGGTCCATCCAGGGATGCCTTTTCTCGGTTTAGGGTTTAGGGTTTAGGGCTTAGGGTTGGCGTGGTGACATCCGGAAGAGGCGGTGACACAGTTGAGGCAAGCGCCTTTGTTGGCGATTGAGGACAATCACATTCCCAGGCATGCACTTGACGGGCAGTTGGGATCCATTCAGATGAGATGCATGTTTCACATCAGTTCCAGCTGCAGCAGGCAGGAGGACAGAGTCTTTCTCAGAGATCGGATCAGTTCCTGGCAGCTCGGCCTGCCAGCTCAGCATGGGATGTGTGTGCTGGAGGGTTCGTTGCGTGGAGGTTCTTCTTCTGCTCAGGTATATGTCGATCATTCAGCGTGGCAGTGCAGTACAGTGCATCATGCATGGGCCTTACGAAGGCAATGTGGCAGTAGTTTGGTGTGTGCCCGAACGAGATGGAGAGGAGAGCAGGAGAGAGAGGGAGAGAGACAGGTTCGCAAAGTCAGATACCCTGGTGCCCCAGAATCGTTGGGGGTTTCCTTGAACACCAGGGACCAAAACCGCTAAACCGCTTGGCCATCGCAGCCTGGCCCCCCCTCAGAGTGGGGGTCCTCAAGCGAGCACAAGAAGAAGAGGCAGAAGAAGAAACCCAAGGGGAGAGAGAGAGAGAGAGAGAGAGAGGAAGGAAGGAAGGAAGGAAGGAAGGAAGGAAGGAAGGAAGGAAGGAAGGAAGGAAGGAAGGAAGGAAGGAAGGGAAAAAGGAAGGGAAGGAAGGAGAAGGAAGGAAGGAAGGGAAGGAAGGAAGGAAGGAAGGAAGGAAGGAAGGAAGGAAGGAAGGAAGGAAGGAAGGAAGGAAGGAAGGAAGGAAGGAAGGAAGAGAGAGAGAGAGAGAGAGAGACAGAAAGAGACGAGGTTAGTGGACGCGCCTGGCGCGCAGGGAAAGGTCCATGCCCGACCCCTAAGCACAGTAGAAGAACAGGAGCTAGAGACGAGGAGAAGAAGAAGAAGAAGAAGAAGAAGAAGAAGAAGAAGAAGAAGAAGAAGAAGAAGAAGAAGAAGAAGAAGAAGAAGAAGAAGAAGAAGAAGTAGAAGAAGAAGAAGAAGAAGAAGAAGAAGAAGAAGAAGAAGAAGAAGAAGAAGAAGAAGAAGAAGAAGAAGAAGAAGAAGAAGAAGAAGAATAAGAAGTTGAAGAAGAAGAAGAGACGAGGGAGAAGAGATAGCAGGCATGGAAGAGAAAGCACGCAGAAGAAATATCACATGAGAATCTTACAGGAGAGAAGAAACAAGAAAGCTGAGCGATGCAAGCAAGTATTAATCGGTCCTCTGGGTTTCTCATATCCTATTCGGGCAGCGGTCGCTCGTCAGGCTCACAGGATAGACCCCAAATCGCGACTTGCGGGGAGTTCCCATCATAGGGGTCTCCCACAAGTTTGGTCTCGGGACCTGCCCGCACGCCCCCGATGAAATGTCTAAACCGAGGTAACGAATCCCAAACGGCCTAAAGTCCGACACCTAAGTCCCAAGGCCTTAAACTTATATAAACCCTAAATCAGCAAGCAGCAATCATCGACCCTACAACTCCTACGCCCCCAAAAGTACCTCCGAGCCCCAGTTGCTAGCCATGAGCCCGACATTCTCCACTAGGACCGGTCATTGAGAAACCCAATCTGGTCAGTTCAGTATCCCTGTGCAGAAGTGGGGCCATGCAAGATTAACCAGGAACCGAGAACAAGGGACCAAAACGTCGGAGGGTTCTACTGCGGGGGCCTCGCCCGAATGTCTGCGACTTAGGACGGAGAAGCCTGTCTCCCTCTTCGTGGTCCACGAGATGGCAGGGCACCAAGCAGAAGCTGTATTATGCGCGCTTGCAACCCGTCTCCACAAGATCAGTTTTCCTTCAGGAGACGCGGCTGGGTTTCGCACATGAAGGTCTGCCGGCATTTGGCTGCTTCCTGGGCTACAACAGCTTCATCGAAAGCTGGTATGCCTCACTCGGAGCAGGCACAGTGGCACAGTATGCCAATGCTTGCTTTTTGGTAAGATGGCTGTGCTCGATGTAACTCATTCCCAACTCCCAACCTTTTAAACGGCCAAAGCCTGGTGTGCTGGGCACACTTTGCAGGCTCTGAGCAACATCCTCTGCCATGCGAAGCGGAACACTTTCAAGCTCATAGCGAGTTCATCTGGCACCCTGGCACCATTCCCTTACTCGATCGTCGCCCTCGTGGAGTGCAGAGCTTTGCCCTCTGCATGCTCATGTGCGGACGCGTGCGGTTCTCCTTTGCCACTCGTATTCCTGTTCTAAGGCATCCGGATGCCACAGTGAGGTTGCTCGGTACTTGCACTTGCTCTGACCTTCGGTCTTGGTGCATGTGTTTGTACCATGCCAGCTTTAGTGCAACTGGGGCAAGAAGCCGCCCGCACACACAAGGCACTTGTCAAGTGGGCTTTGGCTGCACGCGGACCCGTTCAAGGCGGAAGACGTGATGCTCGATGCCGACAGGAGGAGCCAATGGGAGGACACCATGGGCTCTTCTTAACGTTCCACAGTCTTCTTTGACGAATCGGTCGAAAGCTGATCTCTGTTTGCCACAAATTTCGCCCCTTTGGTGCAGGCGGTTCCCATCGCCTGAGCGACTATACAGACTTGAATTCACTTCCTTCCTGGTCTCGCACCAGGCGGGGGTCCACACCAGTGGAACAAGCTGCTACGTTTCAGGTTTGCTCGGGGAACTAAATTGGAGGCTCGCACTCGTAGCCTATCGAAGAAGCAGCCCAAAAAGCAGCCCAGGACCCAACAATTTTGTGGACTGCTGGTGAAGCTTTGGAGGTGCACCGGCAGCTAAAGTTTGGTTGAGATTTTAGAGTGAATGGGCACTTAGGTCGCAATTTTGATGCAACTTGCACATGTTTTGCCACCTGACCGAGGCCTTTGAACTGTGTTGCAGACGTCTGCTTCAGACATCCCTCGGCCTGCCAAAACGGCAGCCTCTTGCGACATCAGACTTGCAACATCTTGCAACATCTTGCAACGCTGTGCTGGGACGAACACCTGCCTGGCCAGCACCGCGCGCTGTCGCTAGTCACGCTAGTCCTGAACTGGACGGCTTTAGTGGACAGGCGCTTGCGAGGGAATCCGCTGTACAGCTCATCCTGTTCAGTCATGCTAAGTCCACATGAGAGTTCGAGGCCAATGGCGTCTATTTCAGGAGGCCCGAAACGGCCCCACATTTTTTGCAGTCCTGTACAAAGACGATCAAAGGCGTGCACGCGCCATTGCGATGCATCCCAAAGCATCCCGATTTTGATGCTCTACGGAGCTGCCGGCGCGGGCCGGAGGCAAATTCAAGAGGACTCGGTCCCTGTAGAGGTGTTTCCCCACCCGGTGCCACCGCGTGCCAACTTTAAAGGCATGCCAGGTTTGCACCCAGTTTGCAGGTGGCTTGCGAGCAAAGACGCCGCTGCTCTTTTTGCCGCCCATGTGCCTGCATCTGTTGGGCCATGTTGCCAGCAGGTGAGAGAAATGCTGGACCTTTACTCGTTCCCTGGTGACGACACGTCACTTGGCCTTGACAGCAGAAACCACCTGGCCAACACCTCTTCGTTGCTGGAACTCAAGGCCGTTCATCCGTGGTGCCGCGCTGAAGGCGCTGAACGGCGACACCGGTGAATTTGGAGTCCCAGCCATCAAGAAGCCATGCGCCCTGCGCCTCCTGATATACATACATATATACATATACACACACATATATATATATATATATATATATATGATCTGTAGTATATAGAAATATAGTATTTATGAGCTCTGAAATTCAGAACTATTCAGAACTTTGCTTTGCCGGTTCCTGGGCTCTGCGAGTCACCGCCAAGGCTCATGGAGGCTGTCGACTCGTTCTTCCCAGATCCGCAAAGGTGCCTCCAGACTTGAGACCAGAAGCTGCACTAGCCGGATAATAGAAAAACACATACTATAAATAGAATTATGTATATATATATATATATATATGTGTAATGTATAGTATAGTAATGTATAGAAATGTATAGTAATGTATAGTAATGTATAGTAATGTATAGTAATGTATAGTATTGTATAGTAATGTATAGTAATGTATAGTAATGTATAGTAATGTATAGTAATGTATAGTAATGTATAGTAATGTATAGTAATGTATAGTAATGTATAGTAATGTATAGTAATGTATAGTAATGTATAGTAATGTATAGTAATGTATAGTATCGTATCGTATCGTATACATATATATATATACATATATACATACGTATACGCGTATATAACATATTTTTTTGTAGTCCTGCCGTGTTTCAATGCCAGTCAGAAGAGTGTGTGACATGAATCCGAAACTGGTGCAGGGACGTCGACAAGCCTTTCCTCATGGGCGTTGAGAGTGCCGCCCGCCAAGAAGTAGCGTGCGTAGACCGTGGCTTTGGGATTGATGAAATCTGGTGAAGTGGAGGTCAACGGCTTTTGGGGTTGAAAGTGCAGCAGGTGAGGGCTTCTTGCAGCTCAGGTGATGAGCATCACAGGAAAGGGCACGGTGGCCACGGGCAAAATCGAGCGTGGAATTGCAAAGACGGGTGACACGATAGAGATCGTTGGTGTCAAGGATCGCTGCGAATGGACAGTCCACTAGCAGATCGTTTCATGTCAATGGCATCTGCTTACCTTCACGAGGATAAGACCCAGAAGGCCACCATCTCCGGCATTGAGATGTTCCACAAGACGCTCGATGAAGGTCAGTCCGGCGACCAGCACGCGACTCAGTGCTGCACCACTCGGGTAAGCAAGAGCTCTATGAACGGACTCCTGCAAGGTGCGGAATCATGCTGAAGGGCATTAAGAGAAATGAGATTCTGCGAGGGCAGGCGCGCAACTCCCACAGCATGCACTGACATGCGCAGACTTTACATAGTATGGAGGGGATCTGTAACGAGTCTACCAGCTTCTTTCTTTTACAGACGAGCTTCAGCACCGTGTCAATATCTCGGGTACATGTGTACGCCCTGTTAGGGCCCCTCAGGCCCCCTTGTAACCCCCTTAGTAGGGGAACAAGTGGGTTTAGGGGAGCAGGTTCGTGGTGGGGTCCCTATGGGCATTCAATTTGATGCATGCCTGCGTCAGGTTCTTTGTGCTGCTGGTACCGTGAAAACGCCCCCTGGCCTGTCGAAACCGCTGCCGGGGCACACTCGCCAACTACTTCTTCCAAGCGGGGGATGGCTGTCATGTTCTCGTGGAATCGATCCCTTCCTTCCCAAGGTACAACAAGTTTGATGCAGACATCTACGTGGGCAGCTCAGACATTGGCGCTGCGTGCCGGTCGCGAAAGCTCTCCCTGTTTTGTGCAGGTTCTGAAGGAGGATGAAGGAGGGCGAAAGAAGCCTTTCTTCACAAACTACAGACCGCAGGTTCCGGTTCTTGGGGTATCCTCTGTGTCCCGAAAAAACATCCAATAACTGGTCTATTTCAGGCATTCACTTAGGGTTTTTTTAACGTTAAGAAACCCTAAAAGCATCCAAAAACTGGGTCTGTTTCAGGCATTCATCCGAACGGGCATGGTGACCGTGGAGGTGCAGCTACCTGAAAGCGTCTGCGCGGCCGCGTTTGGCAACTCACATTTCAGCGCCTAAGCCCGAATACCCGAATACCCTAATACCCTATTACCCTTCTACCCTACTACCCTACTACCCAAATACCCCAATACCCTAACACCCTCATACCCTCATACCCTGATACCCCCTCATACCCTAATACCCTAATGCCCTAATCCCCCAATACCCTAATGGCCAGGTCGAGATGGCCATGCCAGGAGACTCCCTCTCCATCAGCCGGGGACCCATACTCCATGACGAGCCCTTGCAGTCATAAAAATCATGTGTGGGGGTTTAGGGTGTAGGGTTCAGTGTTTAGGGTTTACGAAAATAGGGGGGGGGGGAGTACCTTTTTGGGATCCTTGTTCAAAGGGGATTCTCCTATTTGGGGGTCCATCTTAGGGGTCGCATATTTTCGTAAGCCTCCATCTGATCATGACAGAAGCAGCAACGCCTCATGTCGTCTCTTCGTCCAAGGCCTTGCATTCCCTTTCTGAGGCCTGGCGGCCGAGAAGCCCATGGCTTTGGAGGAAGGGCGATGGCCCCAGAGACCTCAAATGCGCTTTCCCAGAATATACCTTGAGAACGTAAAGGCTACTTCTACCATAAAGAGATCAAAGAGCCAACCGGTTTCTATGCATGTTATTTATATAGATTTGTACACTATACTGTTGATTACTAATTAGAGTGCATGATAATTCATGTTTGTGCATACTGCTTCGAGGCTACGCTTCGCTCTTCGGGAAGGCGGTCTCACTGTGGGCCAGGATGCCAGATTCTAGCCCATGCGGCCTTTGAGTTCTCGGCTCTAGGCAGTATGAAAGTAAGTACAAGCTCCACAAGTAGATGTACGTTGAGTCGGGCCAGTGCAATTATGACAAGGGAAACTTTCACGCACCTCCAAGGCTCTGGGATCATTACCAAGTGCTACTAGCAGCACGAGGCACGGTGCGCGCCCTGATGCGTGATGGACCTGCTATGACTGGCTGCTTGTCCTTGCCGCAGGTTTCTGAGGGTCCCGCTGAGCCTGGCCACAACACGAGGAACCGCGGTAGAGCCAGAAGATCCACACTACTGGTAGCTCAATGGACGCAGATACCAGGGAATAGCACAATGAATGCGGCTGATGTTACAGGAGTCCGCAAATGATGTGTTGCAACAGAGAAGACAAGTGCACCACCATAAAACAAAGAGAGCTTGAGCAGCTGCGAGTAGCAGAAGCCAATCTGGGAGATAGAGATGCAGTCGGGGGCCCGCAAAGCAAGCGGAAGCCGGGCTCCCGGGCTCCTGCGCCGGCGCGGCTTCGCGGGAAGCGGCGCGGAGCCCAGGGAAGCCGTGGCGCCCCGGCCCAAGTACCTCAGAGGACGGAAAAATAGATATGTATAGAGTGCATATATATACATATATATATGTACATATGTATATATATATATATATATATAATGAAAAATGCAAGGAACCGACATGCACAGAGTGCTGTGCAACCGAAACTGAGATACTTGGTCCAGCAGCTTGAAAAGCAGGGGTCGTTCCCTAAGTACTTTCCTGCAGAGTGCGAGCCGCTTCAGCGAAGATTTGATTTACACATGTGGTATACCACGGACAGGGACAGTATCGCATTATATCATCAATCGCGGATTGTATCGTCAAGGCTTGCGTGCTGAGCAGACAGCCTACTTTAAACGCTGCTCTCTTTGCTGCTGTGAAGATGACCTGTTCAGATATGCTTTGCCTACGACAATATTTAGTATTAAAACGTGTTGCCGCTGTGACATTGCTGATGCAGATCGTGATCAGCATGAGAGGATGCCTGCAATCACTTCCGCACGACATGAACCCTGGTGAGTTTGCGCCCCCCCTGCAACTTTTCATCAAGCTTAATCAGCTCTTAACACGAATGAGCCCTCATCAGACAGACATGCGAGCAACTCATTCAAAGCTGTCAGACACATTCTGCGCATGAGCCACAGGCTGCCCGTCATATTTCAGGTCTCCCCCCCTACTCTCTCAGCATTAGTTGGGCATTCGTTGGGCATTCGGGGTGATGGCTGCTGTTATGGAGGCACCTCCAACTTCTACTAGCGGCCCAAAGAGGAACCTCGTCCACGAAAGTTGGCTACGAAAGTGCAGCAAGCATCTCCGAATCTGGAGATCTCGTTGGGTTTCAATTTGGTCTGGGCAAGGGAGCGAGGTGATTTGTTCTCCGCATGCATACAACTATGCCGATGTGAGTGAGCGGTTTGAGATTGCGTCGATCGGAAAGATATGGGAGGCACCCGATGGCATGTACGGTCGTCAGCACTGCTTTGTCATTGAGTACCTCGGTCCACAAGGTGCTCGGCTAGTGGCCATGCAGGCTCTGGATGAGAGCAGCAAGCGTACTTGGATGTCAAGTCTGCTTCAGTCTGTGAGCATGCTGGCGGGCCGCACGCAAGTCCACGCCCCTTTGCTGCTGGGATCTTCTCAGGGGCTTGCAGCCAGTGAAGGAAAGCCGCAAGAGGCACCTCCACTCCAGCGACACCAGCGTCCGCAGGACGTGGCAGCTTCGTCATCAGAGGCGCAAGCACAACATGGCGGCACGGGAGCTTCATCCACGTCCTCAAGCTCTGGAAAGGGCCGCGGCAAGGGCCCGCCGCTTCCAAGCAAAGGGGCCAAGGGGTTGAAGGGCGCCGGAAAAGGAGCGCCTCCAGTGCCCCCACTTCCTCTCGGAAAGGGCAAGGGCAAGGCTCAGCCAAAGGCTTCGGCCAAATCGCTGCCCTTCGGAAAGCGATTGAACATGAAGGATTCAGGGGCTCTTCCGCAGACTGCGAGAGGCGAGAGAGGCGAACAGCCAAGCATCTTCCAGGGGCTTTTTGCCAAGAGAGCTGGACAAGCACAAGAGGACATCGAAACCCTGCGGTCGCTGTTCTCGGAGAACAAGGCTTCCGCAAGCTCCAGCACTGGCAAGGGCGCGCCATCCCTGTCGCCGGGTACAAGTGCAACCCCGCGCAAGATCTTCCCGGATGCGGTGGCCCGGAATTGCCAGATCGTCCTGCGGGGCCTGCCGCTGCGGGGCCAGGACCTCTTCGAGGCCGTGCGGCTCCTTGAGCCGGGCCCCCTGGACCAGGACCAGCTCGAGCGCCTGGCGCAGATGATGCCCGAGCCCTCTCTGATGATTCAGCTCCAGGTGGCCAGCGAAGGTCCCTGCCCCTTGCGGGACGCGGAACAGGCCTTGGTGCCTTTCAGCCAGCTTGGGCGCCTTCAGGAGAGGCTCAAGGCCCTCACCCTTGCTGCCAACCTCCAGCCTCAAGAGCTTCGGCTCATGGGACAGATGCAGGCTGTCAGAGAGGCATGTGCACAGATGCGTGAGTCTAGCAGCCTCAAGCACATCCTGGCCACAGTTCTTGTGATGTACAACTATGTGAACTTTGGCCAAGTAGAGCGGGCAGAAGCACGAGCCTTCGACATCGCCAACCTCCTTCATTTGAATGAATTTCGAGCGGATCGCGGTGCTCCCTTCCCAAAGTTCACAGCGCTGCACTACGTGGCCATGAGGCTTCTCGCGGATGAGTCTGCCAAGTCTGTCCGCACCTTGCAGGCTGAGCTGGGAAGAGTAGCGGAGGCGGCGGGCATCTGCCTCAGGTACATTGGAACCTCTATCGAGCAATTAGTCGAAGACATCCGGAAGCTGCGGGAAGAGCAGCGGGCCAATGCGACGTTGTATGGGGCTGTCGAGGCCGGGCTCGCAGTAGACACCGCGAGAGGCCATATGGAAGCTAACTGTGTGGGCAGTAGAGTGAGAATGGTGCGGAGGGCCAAAAAACACAAAAAAGCAGAGTTAACACTCTCATGAATTCGGTGAACCACAGGAGCCAGCTCCAGCACCTCCACTGCCGCCGCCATTGCCATTGCCATTGCCACCGGTACCTACCCCGCCTGTGGCTCGTCGACTCACGGAGCTCAGCGAGGTCTCCGAGTGTGAAGAGATGACGCCGAGCCCTGTGCTCAGTTTGCCTCCAAAGCAGCATGTGTCACTCGTTTCATCTCGTTTCCCTTATTGTGCTTGTTGTCTTGTTTTGCTCGCTTTTTTAACAGCTCTCCGAGGAGTTGACCTCATTCCGCAGCAGACACCCCGATGCGGTGCCAGCAGCTTCCCTGCAAGGTGTTCTTGCTCGGCTCCTCAAATATTCTCGGGTGCACACGCAGCTGATCTCGCATTGCTGACTTATCCATTCATCCCATCCATTCATTTACTCGAATCCTCGTGCTTCCATTACATCCGGTGAGCACGTCCTCAGGAGCGGCGGCCTGGATACGCCAGGCTGTGGGGCAACTTGGGCCAACAGAGCTGGCGGATCTGGCGAGAGGAGCTGAGTCTGGTAAGATGTGGTCAGGGTTTAGGCTTTAGGGTTTAGCCAACTGCCTGGATGAAGAGTTTGGAGCTCCTTTTTGAGACGTACCACTGCCAAAGTTGCATAGGCAACCTCTTGAGAGTGCTGGCGGAATGCATGGACTTGCATGCACAGAATAGTATCAGTATCAGTAGCGCTCAGCGCGGTGTGCAACGGCATCACTGGCCCTTTCGAGATGCACTTTTCTGTCAGGAGCACCTCAACAATGCCCGAGCTCGACCTGGCTACTCCTCAGGGAAGGCACGCGGAGTCGCAAAGTCTTCGTCACCGTGTCTGAGCTCGGTGTCCTGTGCTACGCCGAGAGCATGGCGAGCCCGGAGTCCGTTCGGTGCTTGCCGCTCATTGGCGCAGAGGTGTGTCCAGCGGAGTCTCCAAACGGCTTTCAGCTCATCTGCCTGGAGAAGCCCGGTTGCACGACCAGGAGGACCTGCAAGTTCCAAGCCCCCGATCTTCAGGCGTGCTTCCTCTGGCAGAGTGCCCTCAGGGCTGCTGCGAACCGGGCTGGTGCAGGTTGGCTTCAGGTGCGGAGCGCCTTCACTTGGAAATGCCGCTGGGTGGTCATCGTGACAGTCCCCTCACAGACGGGTCGCGGAATCTCAAGGTTGTCCGATGCAAGCCGATGCTCTGTGCCTCTGCGGGCTGGAGCTCGTTGGCTGATGTGGTTCCGCAGCCCAGAGGACATGTTGATTGGAGAAATCTGTGGCAGCGTAGAGCTGAGCAGCACAGAGGCCTGCAGTCCAAACTTGGAGTTATTGTGTGTGTTTGTGTACAGTAGCGATGTTAAAGGAATGGTGCATCTTGAGCCTTGAGCATGCGGGCCAATGCTATATGCAGGTATTCAATCGAAATCCACGAGCCTGCAGCTTTCGAGTGGGTCTCTTTGCTGGCAGAATCAGGTTCTGCATCCGTTGCAATGCCCCAGATGCTGCCGTTCTACATGACATGCGGTCTGGAAATGTTTGTTGAAAAAGGCAACCGGAGAGCACACATGAGCCCACGTGAGTTCTCTTTTGTCAGGTTACATTCAACACGGTCGTGGGGGAGAAACTTTGTCCAATCTCTCTCTGAGGGCGCGAGATGAGGCAGAAATGGACAGAGCCTTGTATGCCTTAGGCATGAGCTGTTGTCGAATAATTACTGGCCAGATGCGGTCACAACAGTTTGCGCCCCGGGACGGCACTGCTCCAAAGGATGGACGGAGTACATACGCTCTCCGCAGCCGGCACAGCCACCACCTGCCACGGACCACGTTTTTGACTGTTTTTGACGTGCGCTTGCCTGGACATGTGAAGAAACTGCATTCCCAGCGCCCTTCGCAGGACACAGCGCGCTGCTCGCCTGAGTCGATCTCGCACCGAAGCTCTGAGTGTTCTATGCCCTCTCCGGGCAGTGGAGGCCCGGTGATGATGGTGGATCACAACTGTTCGCATGCCATTCCACAGTGAGACCCGAATCTCAGTATGTTTGAGCTGTCGCACCTCAGGCGGACGAGTCCCCATTCCGCGCAGCTTGGCACTGCTTGGCGGTTCTTTGTCTTTCTTTGTTTGCGTGCGCCACTCACGGTGTCGGAAGTCCTGGGAGGTTTAAACTTGGGGGCATGCTCGCATCTCGAGAGCGCCCGAAGCAGAGCTTCACTCGCAACCGCAAGCACTACCACACCCACCACGCAGTCCTCGCCATCTCCGAAGAAGGAGACAAGAAAGCCAAAGAAGAAGGAGCGTGAGCGGGACACGCTGTGGACCGAGATTCATCGTCGCACCCTCAGACATCCGACAGTGGAAGCTTCCTGATAAGCTGCGCCAGTGACTTCTGCAGGCGACATCATCACTCCAAGACCTGGATTGGCTAGAGCCCCACGATGCTGAGCTGCAAGATGCTGCAAGATGCTGCAAGATGCTGCAAGGCCGTCTGCCACATTCTTTTTTAAAGTATGCCTGTGATCGTTTCGTTCTGCAGCCTCAGGAATTGTGGAAAGCCGAACATGCGACGACTCGAGCTCCGAGGCTTCTCTCTTTCACTGAAGCCTTCATGCCTGCAGTTGTAAAACTTCGTTTCTCGACTTGGGAGTTGCCAGGACTCGGACTACTCCGAGAGCGAGGAGACGACCTCCGAGCCGGATGCACCCTCGCCTGGCCGGGAACCCGCGATTTTCCACCATCAAACAGAGTGAACAGTAGGGCGACATGCGCAGAATGAGGTATAGAATAGATTTTCTTGAGCTCCGGGGGGGGGGGGGGGGAAGTCTCGAAGAGCTTCGCTTTGCAAGCCTGAATTGAGCTGAGGCCCAGACAGTGGAGTCGCCACTGCCAGCGCGGCCAGCGCGGTCAGCGCGGCCTTGGCCGGGTTGACGGCTCGGCGGCCA